ACAAACTACACCAAACATTAACCACTCACCGTTCAAAGCACAGGGGATAGGGAACTCGCTTCAGACCTGGAACCACAAGCTTGTACTGGTTTCCGCGTGTGCTACAAGGTGTTCGGAAGTGGATTACTGGCCTCAGCATAGGGAAGTCACCTAGATGTAGTATGCTTTAGATCATGTTGAATTCGACTCGAAACGGACGATAGGCTAGGGTACACAGTCCAAACCTTTCTCGCCTTACTTCGTACGGTTAACTCCGTAAATTGGAGATGAGCCAGATAGCGACGTGTTAGACTCGTTCGATTTTCTGCGCATCACTTCGATTGGTCAGGTAATAGGCGGGCGGGCGTACTCCAGCATTGGTCTTATGATGGAGGAGAAGAGGCGATTGGACCAGGTGAGCGCGCATAGCATGTTCAGTTCGTCTCGGTGCACGTTGTTCTTGTTGTCCACGGACTTCAAGTTGCAGCTTGAAAACCCGCGTAGGTCCTTCACGAAAGGTGTGGGATGTAGCAGTTGGCTGTTAAGTGTGGGTGTGGCCGTCACCACCCTTCTATAGGCTCATGAATACCGTATTGGATGGGTTGACCGGAAGGCGGACCTCTGCAGATCACGTAAAAAGGCGATCGAGGTATTGCTGAAATAGCCTCTATATCTTCAGTTCAGCCGGAAACAGGGCACATGGTGGCCGAAGAAGCTGAGGTACCTCGTTGATATAAAGCAGGTATGATGTAGGCTCCAGCACCGTGCCTTGGTGTACGTCGCTGGTCGAAGGATACCATTCGGTCAGGTGGCTATCGACTTGCACCCTTCACTTTCCTCTGACGAGAAACTCGTTGATCCAGTGGCGCAGTGAACTGCCAACACTGCATTCTCTCAGCGCGTAAAGTAGGACCTCATAGTTTATCTTGCTGAATGCTTTGCTGTAATCGATATAGATCACGTCGACAGACGTCCCCTGATTCACTGCTTGCAACCACCCATGCTTAGTCACGAGCAGGTTGATGACTCATGAACGGCCTGGCATGAACCTGTGCTGTACGAGCATCAGATATTTTGACCGAAATGACTGTAGCAAATGTTTCTTCACAATCTTATCGACAGTCTTGGTCAACATAAATGTCTAACAAACTGGGTTGTTATTGTCTACCTTACTGGGGTTACCGCCTTTCGGCAGGAGCTCATCGTATTGCGTTGGGAGGATACTGTCAGGTTACCCAGACCTAGACAGAAGAACTGAATACTGAATACTGTATTTTAGAGCAAGTAGAAAATAATTCTGTACAACTTCATCGGGTGATAATCAAAAAACATTAAAAAAACACGTCCGGTGGTTATCCTGAGATGGTTCAGCAACTCCTTCTGTAGCACACAAAATGCATGTTCACACAGTGAGTCACAAGTGGGTGATATCGTTGTCAAGTGGCAACCGTTCTCTGAAACGTATGTTAGCGAAGTGTAAATCCAACAAAGATTTGAATTTCTGCACAGATTCGGCCTTGACGACGTGTTCTGGCAGACTGTTCCAGGCGTGCACAACCCTCCGCTCGAAACACAGCGGGTGTGGGATTTTCTTCAGATCAGGTACCACGAGTTTGTACCTGTGCCCACGTGTGGTGCAAGGTACTCGCAAGTGGAGTAACGACCTCAGCATGGGGAAATGACCGAGATGTAAAATACGGTAGGTCATGATAAAATCCCCTCGAACACGGCGATATGACAAGGTGTAGAGCCCAAGTTTCATGCACCGGTTTTCATACGATAAGCCTCTCAAGCTGGGGATCAACTTGGTGGCGACGTGTTGTACTCGTTCGATCTTTTGCACTTCGCCGCGAGTGATCGGACAGTATGCAGGCTAGCCGTACTCTAGCATTGGTCTGACGATGGAAGAGAAGAGGCGAGTGGCGACGTCCTCAGACCAAGTGCAGAAGCTGCGCTTCAGCGCCCAGAGCGCAGTCCGTTTCGATACAGTTTGTTGGTGTTGTCGACGGACTTCAAGTCGCAGCGTGAGAGTACACTTAGGTCTTTCACGGAAGGTGTGGGCTGCAGTGGTTGGCCGACTAGGGTGTACGTTCGGTCGTGAACAGCCTTCCCGAGATTCATGAATAGGGACTTTGCCGGGTTGACCGGTAGGTGGACTTCAGCAGACCATACTGCGAGGCGGTCGAGGTCTTGTTGGAGAATGTCACAGTCATCGAGAGTATCAATTTCTCGCCAAATTTTGAGATCATCCGCAAACTGTGCACACGGCGACCGTCGAAGCTAGGGCAGCTCGTTGATGTGGATGAGAAACAGAGTGGGTCCCAGTACCGTACCTTGAGGTACACCACTGGTCGAGGGATACCGATCGGTTAGATGGCCGTCCACCTGTACCCTCCACTTTCTTCCAACGAGAAATTCATGGATTTATCGATGTAACGATCCTCCGACACCACACGACCTTAATCTGTCTAGAAGCAATTCATGATTGACTTTGTCGAATGCTTTGCTGAAGTCGATGTAGATTACGTGGACGGACTTTCCCCGGTTCAGTGCTTGCAACCATTCTTGTCTCCTCACAAGTAAGTTGGTAACACAAGAATATCCCATCCTGAATTCGTGTTGTGCCGGTGTCAGTTCTTTCGATTGCAACAGATGTATTAGACGCTTTTTTACTATCTTCTCGATCACTTTGGCCAAAACGGGTGTAAGACAAATTGGCCTGTAGTTATCCACCTTACTGGGGTCGCCACCTTTCGGGATCGGCCTCACCACCGAGCGCTTCCAATCGTTTGGCAATGAGCCCTCAGACAATGATTTGTTGAATAGATCCGTAACAGCAGGCGAGATAATGGCAGCTAGTGATTTGATAATTAGCGGATGAAGCTCGTCAGGCCCTGCAGGCTTGGTACCGTCAAGGTTCGCAAGTAGCAGGCGCACCTCGTCGACATCACATACCAAACTGTTGAGTTCTACAGGAATGTTACTCGCTGAGATGGGTATGGACGCCGCGTCGTTTGCAAACACGAAAGCGAAATGAGCGGCCAGTGCGGATGCGCGATCGGAACTGGAAGTTAGCAGGTGTCCATCCGCGTCTTCCAGACATGACATGTCACCTTTTGGCTTCAAACGGCGTTTCACGTAAGCAAAGATCTTCTTTGGGGCCATCCTCGCGTCAGTTGCAAGCTTTTCTTCCAACTTCCGATGCTTTATCAATTTCACTTTGTTGCAAATATTTCGCTGTCTTTTATATGCTTCGTAATCAGTGGCGGAGCCAGAGAGGCGAAATGCGTCCCACATTCTTCGCTGTAACCGAGCCAGCCTACCATATTCCTTATCGAACCAGTGTGGTTTGATTGGTTCGACTTTCTGAAATTTCAACGGCACAAACTGAGAACAAAGCGAAGCCAATCCTTCCTTTATTACTGTCCAACCGTCCTCCACAGATGTAACATGCGGTAGAGACCAATCCATTTGGATCGCTGCTCGATTTAATCCATCGAAATCAGTTTTCCAGTAGTTGTAAGCTGGTTCAACCGGAGATACACTCGACAAGTTCAGTTCCATAGTGGCTATCAGCACATAATGGTCGCTTTTAGCTAGGGGCTCCTGGATTCGTATGTCATGCAACCGCTGTTCGCAATTCGTCACCATCAAATCAAGGCACGATGGGTTCGAACGCGCCGTCATGCGCGTAGGTTGGTATATGTGTTGCGATGCCCCAGTTTCAAGCAACAAATCAACAAACTTTGATTCGACTTCAGAATACCCGGGCATGAGTTGGATTTCAGGCCATTGAATGTGGGGACAATTGAAGTCACCCATTAGTAGAAAACATGGACGACTCATGTTGTTCCGAAGATGCGGTAGCCAATCTAAAGAGCGGTTCAGAGGGCTACGGTAGAACGCACCTACTGTCAGCTTGCCGCGCCTGAGGTTGATCGAGCACCATACCTGTTCACACAGTCCATCTCCACTTCGGTACACGCTTACAAGCCTCCCACGCAGGGAAGACTGTATATAAAGGATTTCATATTCTATCGCAGCGAAAGCATGAGTAGCCACTTATATCGACTTCCTCTGCCATTACCTCAGAAGTTAGCCATGTCTCCGCCAGTCCTACGACGTCTGGTCGCTCAGAAGCAAAGAAGCGACACAGCTCATCCCGTTTGTTCATAAGGCTACAGATGTTTGTGAATGCAGCACGGAGGTCCTGAGAGGCACCGCAGGACGTGCCTGGAGGTTGATCAACTGACTGATACGGGATCGTGCACCTTTCTTGATCACTCGAAAATTTACGATGTGTAGATCAGTTTCGCCTTCTTCTGTACGGCGTTTAAGCTCAAGGACCGCAGTCTTCAAGTGGTTCCTCTCTTCGGGTTCCAAGTCTCGGCGGATGTGAACCCTGGTGCCTTTAAGCCTGGAGAGACGAGACAGAATGAGTTGTGGCGTGTTGTGCTCAGCAAAGGTGATTCTTAAGGGTCGACATGATTGGTTAGTATGCTGACTAAGTCGGACTACTTGTTTAATCGTTACGCTGCCTTCACCCACATCCAACAGTTTCTCAACGAGCCCCTGAAGGAACTCAACATCGTGATCATAACGTTTCTGAGGGTTTTCATCTTTCGACTCTGGTGCATGGAACACCATGAGATTATAATGCCTCAGGGAGATCGGTGACGAACTTGAGGCAACAGGAGTGGAGGGGCTTGTCGTTTTGGACGGTCGTCTATCGTTAGGATTTCAACTAAAGACTTTGGTTTAGAAACCTAATCGCAAGCAACGGGAGTTTGGCAGTGGTCTACTGAAAGTCCGTTCTGTGGTGTAAGGAGCTACCCTCACTCCAACTAGGAGGGCCAGGAGACTGAGTTGTTTTAGCCTCTAACCACTGACTCAATCTGATATAAGTGGTTCTGAATTTGTAAGAAGCACCAACCATCATAGCTCAGTAAATCGTTGAGGCACACTAATCATCGCGCCATGCTGTCCCATCTCTTCTAGTTTGGCCGCTTATTATGTGGGATTTATTAGAGCCAAGGAGATCCAGCGACTCTGGCATACTTTCATTGTAAACTCTCCCAAGGTACAACAACTATCATTGTATGGTATCATGTCATCGTCATCAGCAGCATTACATCAGCCATTTAGACGTGCTTCGCTGCCGTACAATCACAGTGACCTAATGAATGAGGAATAACAGAGAGAGAAGAGGAGCCTAGCATAAAACCTTAGTGTCCTAAACAAACAATCAGGGTTAAGGCGCCTACACCTTGTCAACAATGTACTGTCACAAACAGCTGGCTATCGTGCAATACTAAGGTATCAAATAGTCTTACCCTCGTTAACTTTACCGTTCACAACACTCGTTTCTTGTCTATAAGACTACGCCTTTACTCTCGAGATAACACTGTTTTCTTTATTTGCTCCATGGACTCAACTCAGATACTGTAGCGGGGGTTGTTTGTCGACTGGATGACGGCTGTCTTTTGTTGTGTCTGTTTGCAATTGCTGCTTGTAAATAGATAGAACAGCTAAAACAATGAGCATCTTTATGTGGAGTATGAAATCAGAGAAACGAGACGGTTATACTTAACATAGCATGCAGCTAGCTTACTCATTCGAACGGATCAGATAATTAGACGTCTACACATCTCGACCTATAAACTGCTTACTATTTGGCTGTTCTGGAGTGTCGTTTGTTTGAACAAAACAAAGTATCCCATGAATGCAAAAGCCTGGTTAGTTATGGAAGCGGCCTAGTTATATCCACGTAGGTTTCTAAAAGCTAGTTACGCCATCATTTACGCTGATTGCTTTGTCGGATAAACTGTTTTCCCTGAAGGACCGATTTCTGCCATATGGTTTCAGAGAAAATCAAGGCAGGTTCACCAAACGGTGCTCAGTCGCTCATTAAAACGCAACCAGTCGTGCAATCACTTGCCCCATTGAACACAGCGAAACATAATTTGGCTAGCTAATGGATCGACTTCTGCGTACTGATGCGTCTAAACAAACAACCGATGGCATATGACTTGGCAATGTTTCGACACATAATCGGAGATGAAGCACATCGTGTGTTGGAAACGATGCGGTACTAGAAGAACGATGGCACTGCTAATTTGGAAAGTTATTCGAAAGTGGCGATTACTATGAAGGACAGACTGACGAGACATATTAACGTTCTCTTTCAATAGAAACAGACGCCCTGACGAATCTATAGGGAACTAAGTTATGAAGCTAAAGGTTCTGACTCGTTCCTGCTTTTTTAAGCTACATAGTTGACAGTCTCATCCGAGATAGATCAATTATGAAAACCTCACCAAGCGCCTACTGCGACAGCGGCTTTTATTGCCTATGCAATGCATTGATATGTGGCACAGTGAATCTTCAGTTGTGCGCCACATCCAACAAGTGTGGTAACCTACTGATGCAGAGCTATGTGCCTGACAAAACTCTGAGACCTGTTTCCAAAACACACGAAATTTGCACTCTGCGCCATGCGACACCCGTAGTGTCGTGCTCACTTTCCGGCGTCGGGTCAAATTCACGCCCAACTTGGTAGATGGAGTCATTTCTCTTGGTGCCGCCAATCTACCAAGGTGAATATACTCAATCGTGACGCAACACCCTCAAACTCTAAACTTTTAGTCGGTGCCGTTCTGTTCTATTCGCTCGTTGAGCTTGACTCTTGCGAAGCAGCAAGCACCATTTATCATTTCTAAGCACTAAGTTAAATCCTCTGCTGATTTTCATTTTTGTAATTGTGACTTCGAATTCTATTTTTCTAGATTCGTCACGAATAGCGTAAAGCTCGGTCATATTACATCTGTCCGTTCAGCTTAATGGGAAAGTCCTCACGTGATAAACGGGACATTTACTACCGTCTTGCAAAGGAGAAAGGTTGGCGCGCTCGCAGTGCCTACAAATTGATGCAGTTAGATGATAAATTCGGTTTGCTGAAGTCAACAGGTAAAAATCAACGGTGCTATCTTCATGTAAATGGGCTGAATGCTTTTTACTTTCTTATTTCTGGAGATCCAGCTTGCTTTTTCATGTGATTGTCAATTTGCTGGAACACCCACTGTGGTTGTACATTTTTGGCATGTCACTTAAAGCCACTTTGTGCGGTTAACTTGCTAGGCCAATGCACTTTAAACCTGAGGTTTAACATTGTTACCATGTGGCGCCTTGACCAGTTTCGTTCAGTTATGTTATCGATGCACAGATTCACTTTTTAATTCCTGTTCAAAATCATGTTTCGCTCTGTTTCGATCATGTCAAACACTTTTTTGTATGTGAATTTCGCCTCATTACCGATAATGAACAACAAAGCATTGATCCTGATCAACGTAATACTTGTGTACCCTGCCGATGATCAATTGCCATGGTGTTGTGCTATGGTCTGTAAATCATATTCTATGAATAACATATTCGGTAGCTTGTATGCAATTTTATTCCCTAACGCAGAGGCGATCAATCGAAAGCGGTGTGAAAACTAAAAGCTTCTTGTCTACTGGTCCTTTGTTAACTCACTGAGTTGTGCACCTCCGATCGTAGTTTTTTGTTAATTTTTGTGTCTTGGAGTACCCGCCGTGTATCTATACTAATACCACAATTTGCTCAGAAGCAAACGTATGCCATTTCCATCACTGAGACCTCATCCGTCGGAGAGAGCATCGGAGCCGCTCCCTCCCAACACTGCACCTCACGATTGATCGGTTTCGTGATGATTAGTACTCGTCAGTTAGAGAGCTTGAACCACAAGCAATCTGTTGTCTTGTTTTACATGAAGTAATATTCAATCTAGTACTGTATTGTGCAAACGCTGTCGTCGAGCTAACGCCTAGAACACTATCCCGAATTGATCAAAACTACGGTTGCATCCAAGATGTGCGGTGCTGTTTATAATGCATTAATTACATACATAGACAAACCCGTTGTCCGAGTTCGGAGGTCGACAACAACTAGTGCTGGGTAGCGCTTAAGCGGGTGAATTACCGTGAATAGTCACCTCTCCTGGCTGACAACAATGCAAGTGATAACATGTACAGTAAGGCCTGCGGCTGGGTGATCGCTTGGCGGACACACGTTTGTTCCTGATTGGAGATGGCCTACACAAATGCATGGTGAAAGGATTGATATTATGCTTGAACATCAGAGCTCGATGCACGAAGACTCAGAATATAATGGTCCAGATCACTCTCTGAACGCGGAGTTCCGAGCAGTAGGACAAAGGAACGGAGAACACAGATGCACATACATACAAATACACGTAGAGAGAAGATGCAAGGCGCAAGGCTCCGATAGCCACAAGTTTGGAAGGACTATTATGGGTCGGAAAACTTTCACACAAAGAGTAAGCACATACAGACAGTCTGGGTGGAGGCAAAGAGTGATTGTGGATTATGGGAATTTCAAACGTAATTCCAGATTCCTCCATAGGTGCTTTTCGACTCGCCTTTTGGACAACTGGTTTACTATCATTTTTCAGCTGTGGTTCGTTAACGTAACGAATTGATCCACCTTTTAGAGCTTCACATGCTGCCACCGCGATTTGTTATCTTACCAGAGTGGCCGCGGAAACGTATCGTATTTCACGGTATCTGTTTCTCTCATTTGAACTGTGAGCGATCAATGCTCCTGAAACCTCGACGGCTCTCAATACGCTGATTTGTTGATATTAAACGGCTTTCGCTTTCTTCCAACACCACCTTTTCCATCTAGTTACATGAAAACTCCTTTACCCACACTAACGTTACATTGCCACATTGGCTTAGAGTCCTACCACATCACCTCCTCCATCATCCACAATCTGATCTGGTGTTTCGGATGCCTTTGGTGGTAGCCGTGACGCCTATTAGGAAACCATTAAAACCTATTTGATGCTCCAGTTTTGCTTGTCTTCATTTTTTGCCCGTAACAATGACTCGCTCTTTCACGTTGAAGCTGCTTCCTTCTATAAGTTCTCCATGTAACAAGTCGTATTCCATGTAACAAGCCTTCCGTCCAAATTGCCAACTGAGATCAATTTATGAACTACTTTCATTCGAAACAAATAAGTTTATCCAGAGTGCGGCTGGTTCTACGGCAACCAGCTGACTCGCCGGACAATTCCCTTTTAGTACCAGCTTGAGTAGTTCAGGTTTCCACGTTCCTGCAAATGCTTCGGTGGCAGGACTTCAAGAAGTGGTCAATTTTCGCATGGCAGACGTTCTGCCTATAAAAACCACATATGTATGTTTAGCAACGCTGCGACTTGGCGCATGTGACTCGCCACTAAGTAACTTCTCTACCCATCGCTTCATTCCGGTGAAGCATTGTATTCCAGCACCCACTTATTGAAATCATGGGGAGGTTTGGGCCCCTGTTTGGTAACCCACCAAACAATAGGTTTATGAACTGGGCAATCGGTCACCGGCTCCCAACGAGTGCGATTCTTGAATTCGCCTCGCTGTTTTGCGGGTAGGCTATTTAGCCAAAGGCTCAGGGCAGTGTCCTCTAAGTCAGCTCTCCACTTCTGCTTGGACAACCGGGTATTATGACGCCCTCTGACAAGAAACCATGGATTGATCTACAATATATGCTATCGTTTCTACTTTTTGCATTCATGCAACTTCATCACACCCCCATTGTTTATTTATTAACCATCCTTGTTCTCCGTTACCTGATTCCTGTATTCATGGATCTGCTTGCGATTCCGGTTGCGAACCATGGAGTTCAGCTTATGGCCCTCATTCTACCTTTATCCTCTGGCGTGCTTCAACGTGCGAACACTCATACATATTGGACAGCCAGCCGGTCTTGCATGCACTCTGGAGTCCCTCGATGTTGACTTCTGCTGCCTTTTTAAAACCCAGTTTCTGGACCCCAGCACTGTGCTTATCAGGGTGTTCCCCACTAATCACGGAGCCACATATCACCTGCGTGTTTCTGGAGACCCAGAAGTAGCTTCAGCGGGTTTGACTGATGCAAGTATAGCACTAAGTGACAAGGCCGGAACCGCACCGCCAGAATGGTTCCCAATTAGCTGCAGACTGTGCACTTCTGCTTCGGGGTTCTTGTAAAATCAACAGACATCGCGCGGAGAGATATCTTGTTTGTGATCTCATCTGTGACAACTCACAAATGTGCCAGGCGCACAGATTCTCACTGGCTGTCGGCCGTTTCGACTTATGCTTTGCATCCTCAAAGTGTAAAGCTTTCCTCCATGTTTGAGAGGGACCGCCTCCTGCGCCGACCCTTGGTGGAGATCAGGTAGAAGTCGGTCAAACATTCAACTACCTAGACAGTTGTATCAGCGCCGTTGGAATTGAAGAGGAGATCACAAACGTTATAGCAAAAACACGAGGTGCTTTTCCTACCTTCGCCATCTGTGTCGCTGCCGCAACATCACGCTATCTGAAGAGTAGAGTGTACAATGCTTCTGTACGTCCGACCCTACTGTACGGTTTTGGAGCCTGGCCCATTATATCAGCTGACGAGGCTAGTTACGTTCGACCACCGGTGCCTTCGCAGTTTGGCTCCTATCTGGTGGGAACACTGGGTGAGCAATGAGCATGTTCGACGGCTTATTTATTACACAAGAAGATGAAATGAATCGATCAGCTTCGTTATATTACGCACCAGGCTCCGATGGCTCGACCACGTGTTGCACATGCCAACACCGACTCCCGTGACGTGCGTTGTTTGCGCGCCAGGTATGTGTGTGGAAGAAGAGGTGGGGTGGCCAAGCGACGATTCGGTCAAGAGGAGTGAAGGCCCTTACTTCAAAGTTGGGCTCAGTTGGAGCCTCTCGACTCCTTGGTTGGCTGGATACACTGGATACACTGCGTACGCTTGTTAAGACAGCAAGGCGCCGACCTTATTGGCGTTTGTGTGGTGAGTTTCTTTGTCTCTCCCCTTCCGATTAGCCTCTCCCTCCAACGACGTTCTCATTTGCTAGACACAATGTCCATCCGTTACTGGTGTATCTGCCGGCGTGCCTCTGTTGCCATTTTTGTCTTTTGTATTGCGTCACGAGACCTAAGATGTTTTCCACCTCTAGATAACATCTGATGGTACTGATGATCTCAATGTACGTTCCAACTGACTGAAATAGTGGCTTGGTCAAGGATGACTTTTATCGGGAGCTTCATAGGCTTGACTAACGATAGCAAATCGTATATCGTTGTCACCTCTGTGGATTTCAATGCACAGCTTGGCCGTCCGTTACCACACGAACGTCGCCTTCTTGGCTACCACGCGATGGATGAGGACCGCTCAGATAACGGAGAGAGATTTCTCACAGTGCACGAAGACAACCACCTGTTTCTCCTGAGCATCAACTTCACACATACGAAGCCACGTCCCAAAGCTTGCTGTTCCCCTTCGTCAACACCAGCGCGGTCTCAGATTGATGACATTGTAATCAGCTTCAGATTATGGGGTAGCGTATGGGACTATAGGGCTTTTTGATCAACTTTCTTTGGCTCAGATCATGCGCTTGTCTATGCAAAACTCTGCATTTGTTTTGTGGAGGTCCGCAAAAATGAAACAGCGAATAAATTAACTGATTCTTCGGTCCAGGCCAGCCATCATTCTTCACTAGCACACGCACTCAGTTTCATTCCATCTCAAGACATTGAGCAACACTGGACTTGTATACAGAAGGCGATGATCACTTCTGGACAACCAATCTGCCGTCTAGCCCGACACCACTTTAAAGGCTTGCATCTCTGCTCGCTCTTTGAAGCTTCTCGATCGCCGCACTGATGTCCTGGCAGAACTGGATTACAATGACCGTCACCGCTGTGCTACCTGACAGCTTAAGCAAAGCCTACTCAAGGATCGCGAAGTTTGGTAGTCTGAGATTGCTTTGGAGACGGAAACCGCTACCCTCTCTGGCAACACACGCAAAATATTCCAACTCATTCGGTCCTCTGGCTTCAGGCAGTCTGGTGTCAGTGGGGTTATCTGCAAGGTGAATGGGT